AATTCTTCCCCCCCCCCCCCCATTCCCCCCTCTCTCCACACAACCCCCTAATGCTACTATTAGCCCTAATACAGATGTCACCGAAGTTGTCAACCCACCCCGTGGAAATCTCTTCTATACCGTTTCGCCCCTGCTTCGTTCAGCTTGCATTCATTCAGGCAACTCTCATTCGGTGTGAACGATGCATTAACTGGATGCATTACTGGTGAGGACACATGTTATCTTTTTTTGGGGAGGTTTGTTTTTCACCTAGGACGAGATGGTAGTGTTGGGTAGGATATTTTGAGAATTTTTGAGGTCATGAGCCAAGGGTTACTGTCTTGTCGAAATTATTATTTTCAATCTGAATAACTTATAAGGGTGGTTTGTAATTTTTTTTTTTTTCTTTTTCTAGGAAAAACTTACATTTTTCCTAATCCTTTGGCCCTGTTCGATGCGTGGATGTGACTTCAAAAAATAGACACCGTGACTGGGCACCCCTGCAGTTTAGCGGCATACTTTATAGTTTATGGTAACGGGGCTAGGGGTGCTTCTACCCCCTATGTGTAATATATGTATGACAATAATAACAGGGATAACCTATGTATCTAAAGGTGGTTTTGTCCGAGATCAACGTACCGAACTTAAATTCACAGTCCGGCCGCAGTCATGCAAGTTTTCACACTACACACGTCTTCTCGTATTTCAAGACCCTCTTTGCAAATACTCTAAGCCCTTTAGGGTGCGTTTCCAGCCACCCTTAAAGAAACAGACACGATACACCCAGAAGAGGGAACACAATTACCGGCTAGGAACAATTTCATGGATCAAACTTAAGAAAGAGAAAACCAAGTGAAATGGTGTAAACTAGGGGAGAAAAAATGTACTGCCTTTATTTTTATTATTTTCAAAAGTCACGACTGCGACTTAAGCCTTCGTCTATGTATACGATCTTCGACTACGGTTCACTCGACTGTATATTTATTTATGTAAAATCGTGCCAACGCAACCGGAAAACAAAGATGCCTACGCATCGGTGCCGTGTTTTTCGAAAAGATAAAGAAAAGTAATCCCGCTTCTTCTCGTATGATTCCAGTGTTGAAATGCCGATGCAAAGCCGATTTTGAGCAGTGAGAAAAGAAGAGAAGAAAAGAAAAGAGGAGAGAAAAAAAAGTACCACGACATCTCCTCGTGCCCAGTTACGTGCGACGTAGTCCCAATGAAAAGAGGCCCAGTACCCAAGCCATACAAAGAGCAGTCCCAGTGAATGAATGGGGAGGACCCATAGTAGTAAGGATTATACAGTCAAAAAGTCATAGTATGAATTTGTCGGTCCATTGAGACGAATGCCGACGATCTCCAAAGGCCTTCCGGTCCAGGGACACACCTGCCCATTATTACCGAGTGTCCTACCGGCATCGAGAATCGGCTGTTCCTAACCTCCGTGTCTCTTGCGAAGAAACCGTCATCGTTTCCGGTGGCTAGAAATTCGGTTACGGTCAACCGGAACCAAACTACGGTGACACGAATTTTGTCTCTGAGAATTTCTCAAGCAAAGGATTCTACCGGGTGAGTTAAAAAAATGTGTCATCTTAAATATCTTCAAATACCACACCACGTATATGAATATAAGATAACCTCATCGGATACTCTCCCTCTCTCTCTCTCTCTCTCTCTCTCGTTCCAGGTCCTTCGTCTGCAAGGGTGGATTTTGAGGGTGCGGCTCAACCCTACTTGGGCCACTTCGCAGGAGTAAAATTAGTCCGGGCAAGACGCTTTAATATCTCCCGCCTACCCTTGCCAGTTTAAACGGCCTGCAGAAGATCCTCAAGGCGCGCGCGGCGGCTGAGCCACGATAATAATAAGGATAACACTTGGGGATATTAGTTGGTACAAACCATCCTAACCTAACCTAACCTAACTTTATTGGGGACCCCCGGAATCTGGCTAATTGTTTGATACGGGTGTTACTTCTGAGAACTACCCTAGAATACTTGGATACTTTATTGGAATACTATTAATCTTCTGTTTTCGACAAATTAGAGGAATTTCATGTGGTCTTCTTTCTTTTTTAATTATACACATAAAGCAAAGTCGAACGTTATTCCACTTGCAGCCAAATTCTCGGCCCATTAATTAATCTTTTATTATCGTATTGCCTCTTGCTAAAAGAGATTCTACGACCATTTTATCCTCAGACTATTTCTTCGTTTCACTTTGTAGCCACTCAGCTCGAGCCCGACTCCAAGTAAGAGGCCCTAATCGACGCTACTAAACCCACGGGGATTTTCCTCCTAACATCAAGAGGGTCATAAGTTCACTGCTCGCCAAAGAATCCCTCACCCCGCCTTTTAACAGTTAGAATAAAATAATCATCCCCCCTTAGAATTAAGAAAAAAAAAAACAAAATCCAACAGAAATTTTTCATCGATTTCTATTTTTTTTTATGAACAAAAATATTTACCCCAAGTCACCCCAGAAACCACCCTTACTGCAGCCACCCATCCTCGCTCGTCTGATTTCTTCTAAATTCCCGAATAAAAGTTTACACCAGGCAGGAAGCGGCGACGGACGGGCATCATAAAATCGGGATTCAATATCGTAAGGGGGTGTCATGTATGTCATGTGGATGTCAAGGGGCGCTCGTTTCACCCCACTGGTACAGTCTGAATCGTTCGTGGCTACCAACACTGCGAAAGCCAAAGGTTTTCCTATACACGCGTTATACTGTATTGAAAAGTTCGAACAGTAGTATATCTATATGTGTCACAGTTCTCGAATTCTATCTCGTGTAACATTGCCTCTTGTATGCATATACATTACCACACTTAGAATCCTCCCCTCTGTCCCCTTTTTTTTTTCTTCGCCATGTTATTCCCGTTCGCATCTCGCGGGGGTACTCGTGTAGGTAGTTTGACACGCTCGTAAAAGACGAGCCGTTTTAATACAATTTACAAGAAAGTATAAAGCGCCGTTCGCAGGAGCAGGAGGCTGCGCGGAGAGTCTGTCGTTACCCGTATGCATCTGTTGTATCAAGTATCAATGAGCCATAGAGAGACTTGAGCGAGAGAGAGAGAGAGAGAGAGGAAAAAAGAAGAATTTCTATGAAAACCATAGAAATGCCTTTGTGGACGACGGATCATATATGTAAATGAGGATTAAGGATGCTGGGAGGATGTTACAGGGAACGTAAAAGTATGGATAAATAAAAGAAAATACCTGTTCGTTATGTCATTCATTAATTGGTAAAAATACTGGCGACTGTTACAAGAGAGAGGGTCCACTGCGCGTCTACTTGTGGAGTTTAAAATTACCGTGACTCCATCTTGTATACAAGGTGAAGAATCTGGGGAGTATTTTGTTGATAATCATTGAGAGAGAAAAGTCGCGGTGTTCGAGGGTGATTAATTTCTAATTCAAATTCAAATCTCCCGCCGTGCGGTAGATGGTTTAACGGCTCGTTATCCTCCGACCGGTAGACACACTGGGCTTACCGATTTATCAATCTAATTATGGAGTCTCGTAGAGTTAACTACTTGTACCGCCGTTAACGCTGATTCCCTAGGTAACAAATGCCCATTAGAGAATGCCCATAGAACGAGTGAACGCAGCCACTGTGATTCCTAGGGAATTTTTCCGTGGCCAACTATGCGCTAGACGCGTACGAAAGTAAGACAGCGACGGCAGTGAGTATAAAGAAGGATTGGACGACGACGACGAGGAGCGAAGGAAGAAAAATATAAGAAGGAAGTTCGTCTGACCTCGCACGCTACTATAACCACTAGCTATAATATTTTATACAATTTACGAGGCAGTCCCTTCGCCCTAAAGTCTCGAGCTGGATGTCCATAGTGGCGACAACGATCCTGTCAAGTAGCTAAAGGAGGTTAGAAATTCAGCCCGAGAGGTGAAGGAGCAGCTGCAAGTCTAGAGACCCGGGATACCCTGTACGCTGTAAAGATTATGGGATGCTGTGAGTACACGAGAAGAAGAAGGATCTTGATTCTTCTCCTTCTCCTCTTCCTGCGTAGCCTCTCTTCTTCACGTTAATTGTCGCTTATTAAAAACGATCCGCCATTCGCTTCTTATACCTCGCCGAGTACCGGGACGACAATCAAAGACTTTTGCCATCCCTTCGAGCATCCCAGTAGTAGGGGTAGGTACCGGGAGCACCCTTAGGGACCTTTTGAAACTCTTAATTCTTGGCTGGGGGGTGCGGATTTAATTTTTCGAGGTAACAGGACGTCGACGACCTGGAAGGAAATCGTCGCGAGATCGAGTCACTGGCCTAGAATATATATACATATATATTGAAATGCTGAATGAGTTAAGGGCATTAAAAAAATTGATAAAGAGATAACAAAGAAATTGGGGGAGTTTGGAAAATGTCCAATTGAAAATTACATCCTGTTCACTTGATCACTATGAATTTACGTGGAATTGATATCGGAGGCAGATCGGTTATCGAGCGAGTTGAGTATTCGATGCGAACGCAGGGAGGATACGGGGGAGTCGAATGGTAGAGTCCGAGAGGGGGGGCAGAAGGGGGTGTACGGCAGGGGTGCGCATTGACACATCGCCACAAAATTAACACATTCTTCTCACTCCCCCGGCAGCTCGGCGACAATCACGAAATAATGCGGACCGCACGAGCGACCAAACGCTCGAAATGTGTGGCTCCCGTTGTGGTCTGTTACAACCTCACCATTCCCCGTTACTGGTACTTCCTCGGGGAGTACCGCCTCCACAGAGTGCCATAAGCCACTAGGTACCATTTGCTGACAATTAGAATCATTGGATATCCCCGGGCGACCCCTGGAGTTGAAGATAGAAAGAAAAAGTGAAAAAAAGGTAAATACAAAAATTTTTTGATTAAAAATCTTGCGTACGGAATTGATTTAAAAAAAAAAATTTTCTCATTGCTCTTATCCGCCGTTACAGATTTACCCGTATAATAAGAACGAGCACTGGCCTCAAGAATTCGCGAGAGCAAGTCAGGGGCGACCGGTTAATAAATCGGCGAGTCCTGGTGTGGCTGTCAGTCCGGGTTCCCGTCGATCCCGTGTAAAAAAAACGTTTGAGGACAATTAATAATTCGCTCGGCGAGCACCAGGCCAATTTGTCGAGGGCATTCCGTCCTGCAGTAACGTAACAAGAACACCCGGAACCCTCTCCCACTTCTATACGCACAGCCATGCTACGGTATACATAATAATAATAGACAATAATTCCCATCACTGTGAATATTTTCATCTGTCGATGCTGTACCAATAAACTGTATATTATACTCTGCAGAAATTAATACGCAACTAGCAATGAAAGAGTGTACACGTGCGCGTATATATACGTCATATCCATATATCAGAGGAGTATATCCAGTGGACGAGTTAGTAGACGTAGAACGAGTGGCGGAGTGATATCGGCTAGTGGAGTAATACAAGAGCAATGTGCCATAAGCGAGTGAGTGTCCAGCCGCGTAAAGGCCGCACAATGGCGAAGAGCGAACTGTTATCCGGAAGCGAGGGTTGGCCAGTGATAACGGGTGTCGCTGACATTAATTGTAGGACAATTTCGAATATCCAGAACGAAGGTAACAAGCGTAGTACGTGCTTTGAGCCAGGATAAAAAGTGAATGGACAATTATGAATATAATTTTTCTGTTTTCTCTAATTTTTTCAACTTTTCAGAAATCCCACAAGACGAAAGCGTCTGGGTACTTGGGAAAAAATCGCTGCACGTTTATATCGTACGATAACAAGCACCCATGGTCTGCCGATACTTCATCGGACGGATCGACGTGCACTGCGGGACCTTGCGGTGACAAATAAATGCAGCCAAGGGGGGTTGGCAGCCCAGAAGGTCCGTGACGTAGGGGGTGGTCGAATGGTGAACTCCATAGCGGCGTATCGACGTGGCAGCTATGTTTCATGATTTTAACCCCCATGAAATTCCCGTCAGTCATTTCAGCCTGCGTTATCCGTTTACGTTCCGCGTTTCATTGGGCGACCCTGTATAACGGCCACGCGGATGTCTCTTAACCCGAAGCATTATACGAAACACGACAGTGACTGTACAGCGTGTAGCTGCAGCACCTGCAATATTTTGAGTGCACGTAGAAAAAAGAAAAAAAAAAATTGAAAAAAACAAGGGAACTAGGCAAAGTATAAATAAATTCGAAAATTCAATTGAAACACAGTAAACCCTCTAAAACTAGGTAGTTCCAGAGGGCTCGAGGCTCTGTAGTATATATAAACATACAAGTATCATATAACCATATGTGTATGCATATGAGAGAAGAAAGGGTGCAGTAGGTACACGGTTCAACCTGCGCGTGTACACCGGGAGGCTTCAATTAATTAATATTCGAGAACAAGGATGCAGCATCCCAACTACCCATCCGCATCCCCGTAGACACATATACGCATACACGTAACACAGCCAATGCACAAGCTAGCGGGCCCTCTTTTTTTCATACCTTCCGCACGAAGCCTCCCTGTATATGATTTACCGTATTTCCAACGACGTGATTCTCCGCGTACCCTAACCTCGCGCCATTTAAAATATTGCCAAGTCGCCAGGGTCTACCTGGGAAACTATGTATATTAGCATCAGCTGTAAACCACGTGCCCAGTCGCCGGATACATGTTTTACCCTTTGGCCCCCATCCGCCGGCCTCGTCCTCCACGTCGTAGACCCTCGGGCCTGGTCTTGTTCGGTGCAAATTATTTCTTGCTCCTTTGGATTAAGAAGTTCCCGGGTATAACGACTCGATCGAGTCTATAAGATTTTATACACGGTGTACCGATTGTAAGGGTTTCCAGGTGGATGCCCGTTATCATGGGTAGACCGTACACAGGCGCTTCGTTCTGGATAGACTCAGGAGGCTCTGAACGCTCCAGGCTCCCGGGCCCCAGGTATGACTGCTGCTGTCATATATAATAACCGCATAAAACAGATACGCGCGAACCCAACCAGCCCACGAATATATTATGTTGCTGTGGCTAATTTACGATTATAACGTACGTGTATAACTATCATTGTTGATATACTACCCGCGTGCAGGTATACGAGAATGCTTATGGCGAGAGCGGTGCCTGTACGGTGTATGCAATTTTCATGTGGATCTCTATTGACTTCTTCTATATCCTTATCCTCTAATTCTAAGTAACGCCGTACCGCGTGAACATAGCCTACGTACGGCGTGCACGTCCGATCGAGCGTTATACTTTACTCTTTATTAAATTAACTCTTCGCGGTAACGTTTCCGTGCGTTAAGGATCCTTGTAAGCAACCTCGTACGCAGAGAATAACGATTCACTATGATTCCCTCTGAGAATCGAGGGAGATCGTTCGATTCACTTGAAGTAGTCCGCATATCGAATTTCACCGAGGGAGTGAGCACGAACAGACTTTGGGTCTGGATGTATGATTAATTCGACGAAAGTAATGACCACCCAATATGTATCAAGATTTTTGTTTACGATTCACACAACTTTTTTTCACTCATTCGATTACCTACTTTTTTGGAGGTTAACTTTTTGGTCGTATGAATTTTTCAAATTGTTCTAGAACATTTATCGACGTATACTCGTCGGAGTTTTCTCGTGTTCTCGGTCGATCGTACGACGTGTGCGAATGCGCCGGGATCGGTGTGGCAACCTGGTGAACGTCAAAGGGATGCCGCACACCTTTTTTGCGGCAATGATCGCAATTGGACTGGTCTCGTGTCTTTCGAGACCGGTCGAGAATCGAGAGTTGCCGATACGACAAGAAGCAACTTCAGACCAGTCGTACGGACAGACGCGAATACACGACGCTCGGGCACCGATGACAGTTACATGTCAATATGGCATTCGAAAACTAGTTTCGCGTCCCCCTACCGCAACCCCCCCTGCTACAAATGGCCGACTGCGAGTCGTCGGTAGTTTCACAATGACAAAAAACCACCGAACTGTCTACCAACTTGGAGATATCGATGAGACAGTTTAAAAGTGAGTTTCGCATGCCGTTAAAAGTGCTATACATTTTTTTTACCTCGTATCCCAAACCCCGTAAGTCTTGACATTATCGTGCCTTAGAAAAAAAACGATGAATTACGAAATTTCGAAAAAAAAAAATTTTCTACAAAAAAATTTAGTATATTAAACCACCCTAGGCCACAAAGGTTGGATTTCCTGGCGCATTGAACTTTTTGGCCATGTGTCGTATACTATTTTTCTTGCTCCCTAAGCCAAAAGTACCGTCTTCCCGTTTTTCATTATTCAACCGACATTACAAATTTACGGTTACGAACAGTTAGAGCTTACGATCGAACATTCGCTTGCTTGCATTTGTTTATACGGAGGCAAGCAGCCCACAAAAGTGGCTCCTCCCGGACTCAAATGCCGCCCGGGAAGACGGTACTTTCGGCTTAGGGAGCAAGTAAAAATTTTTTCTAACGATTCAACGTCATCCAAATTAATTCCCTTTCTCATTGTTCCACGTGTCTCATCCTTTCCTCGGTATCTGCCTTCCGACAGGCCAAACCACGCGGGGCTTCGATTCATAGCAGCAAAACGGCAGATACGAGAAACCCATTCTAAGACATTGCCCGTGCAGTCTTTACGATCACAGTAGGTGGATGAGATCTTGAATTGGATGCTGCGAGGATGTATCTCTATCCCACACGCCCGCACGGACAACACGTACACTTTTACAACGCCGGTACGACGTCCTGACTATCTCCACTCTCCGTTCGTCTACCTCAGCCTTCCTACGCATCCCATTAAGCGACACAGTTTCATCCCACGGAGGTTCTAGCCACGGCGCAATTTCGAATAGAAAACACAAGATGCATAACACGAGATCAGATAGCATCAGCACGCGCGATATTAATCGTAGAAAAAGCCCCTAATGAAAGATCGCAACCAAATAGCCCAGGAGCAGGGTAAAAAGGGGGATGAAAGTTTGAAAAATAAATAACAAGGTGTTAAGCAGCCCTGAGCATGGTTTGAAGGCGGGGGGGGGGATGGGTACTTTTCAAGAGGGGATGGATAGCAACCCAGCCTGATCCCAGGACCAAAAGGGATGCTGTGCTGCCTGGTCGGGTGAATCCTTAGGGGGTGAGATAGAGGAAGGGTGCAATCTGATGGGGTATATCAGATATACATGTTACGAACGTGTAAGAGAGAGACAGACGGCAGGACAACCCCACTTGGCAACTGCGGTCGAGAGGCCTGTTTAACAGATTTAAAAAATCACCAATAATTCTGAGGGGCTGTTTGCTCTTCGAGGGGCCAAGGTATGTAACTATGGCGGAGTAAGTAAAGGCCGCGACGGGGACGTCGGCGGGAATGTCATTTTTCATTTTAATGGTAGCCGCTCCGGGCCCCGGAGTCTCGCTACTCCCCTCGTTTATTTGTTTCTCTCCTCCTACGGCTCTTTTGCCTCTCTTGTACTCCTTCTCTACGTTTTCCTTTTTTCTCTCTCTCTCTCTCTCTCTCGTGGCCATGGACCAAGATTCAGCCTCTCGGTCTCACCCTCTGACTTAAACTCTATGCCGGCCTTTTACCCCCCCCTCTCACCATCACCAATCCAAACTGGCAAGCCAGCTTCCTTTTATCTCGGCGAGAACGTCTTAATAGCCTCCAGCATCCTTACTACCGTCTCACCCTGTACACTTGGGGTTACCGCTTCAGATCCTTAGGGTGTGGACCAAACGTCACAGGGATGTCTTTCGTAGGATTTGACGTAAGAAAATTCTCTTTTTTTTTTGTTTAGTGAGATTTTTGAATATCAATTTTTTAAAGGTATCTCTTGTTTCGGAGATTACTCTGGAAGATACAGGGGATGCTGGGATTTTTTTTATTGTCTCGGGGATAGATCTCAGTGGTCCAGATCTATGACGGAAGCCAATTTACTTCTCTCGAGATATCATGTATACGGATTGCCGCGGACTAATGACATTCGGACGGATGCAGTCCTGGAGATGAGATCAGAGGATCGGAGGCTGTCAACGGTCCATGTGTTACTATCTGCTTCTCCTCGGATATCTGTTGTTACGGCAGGGCTCTGCTACTCCGCTTAGTCGACAGTCAGACCTGTCATCCTATGTCTCTTCGCGTTAGGACATTACGCGCTGACACGTGGACGGTGGAAAGGTAAGGAAACGAGAGGAAGTTTTGAAAGGGACAAAAAAAAGGGACAAACGAGGGAAAGAAAAATTTACGAAATTAATTTGCCGTTCCGGTTAAAGTAATTCGACATGTGTACTTGCTGGAATTGATTTTGATTTCCTGGAGCTTGGCCCCGCTAGGCTGGTTTGCGGTTAACACATGTGACTGGTTAATGAAAAAAAAAAAAAAAAGGTGAGGGGGGTTAGAAAAAAATAAAACTTTACCACCCGGCAACAAATCCCTGTCATTGGGAAAGTTTGATTTATCATTCGACAAGCTGTTTGCATTAGATTCGGTACGTACAAGGGGGGGGCACCTAATGGTATAGTCAGTGTATCCTGATCTATTGTGAAATGTAACAAGCCGCCGTCGATGGGCTTCTGTAGGGGTAGTTTTGATTAAGGACGGACAGACAGTGGGTAATATGTATTATAGGGGATTATTTCAAGGTTCATTTTTTTTTTGGACTTCCAATGGGTGTAATTGTCGAATTTTTGGTATGGGGTGGATTTTTGGGGGGGAAAATTTTTTGAAAAAAAAAAAAAAAAATTTGTTCCCTTGCATACAGTGTAGTACCGAAGGGAAGGATTTTGGCGGACAGTAGTTACAGTGACTATCGTTCGCAGGGCAAACGATTTGGTACACATTGTTAGCGTTGCGTAACAAACCCCAGCTTGACGGGAACCACCCCTGTCAGACATTGTATATTTTTTGGATCTCGATTTAGCGTGATGTACGGCTGCGGCTTTACGCGTTACGTAGGTCGTGCGCGCATACCCAGCCAAGGCAGAAAAGCGAAGCGTGGGTATCGATGACCGACCTAAAGATAAACGACGCCGTGAAATCAGCCGGGGGCGGTTGTTTTCATACAGAAGTACAAAGTGACTTCGGAGCGAAGGTCTATACTACAATGGGCAAGAATAACATAGGTCCGTCCACGTGATCGACCCTTAAACGTATCGCACCAGAAAAATGACCCGAAATTTAAAAAAAAAAAAAATGTTAACTGCCATCCCGAATTCAAAAAAATTTAATTTTTAATAGTTGCCATTCGTAATTTTTTGAGCCCTCCAAAAAAAAGTCCCCGACGAGGCCCCCCATGGAGGAACTAGATAATTTTTTTCAAATTCCTGGACACCCTCCCTCGATAAATAAAAATACCACTGATTTCGTTATTCGACAGAAAAACAGAAACCAACTCCTATATCCGAAGCCACCCCGGAGTGAAATCGTTGAAAAAGAAAACTACCCCCCCTACGATTATCCGAAAATCCAAGATCGCCAAAAAGCTGATCGAAAATCACTATAGGGCATCTAGGTATCTGAACGGGGTTCCGGGGTCATGGGGAAGGTGAACCGGGGTGAAGTGAGGTGAGAGGTGGGGGGCATCAGTCAAGGGATTAGCGGGATTAGCCCTCGAGGGGGACTTGTTAATTGCTGGGTAGACAGGTCGGCGAGAGGGTGAGAGTTAGAGGGTGCAGGTATAGCTGTAGGTAAAGCTGCCGTAGAGACGTGGCTCTGTGTCATGTATATAGGTATATAGATATATACGGCCCAGCGGATATAGGACACTGGTCCTAGGATCCCATAACCAGGAGTCGGAGCAGTTCGCAGGGGGCGAAGACGGGAGGGATGGACGGAGGAAGTGAAGCGAAGTGAGAGCAGGTTACCGAGAGGACACAAATCACGGCAGAGTTACGGACTTAAGGAGGGCTTATTAGCCGGCCGCAAGTCTCCCACGTTGGTATCAATGTGGCAGTGTACCAACCTAACGGAGAATAACTACCCCAAATGCCAACTGCCTATACGATCTAGCGATATCGCGTACTTGCTGCCTACGTAAGGGCTCAAGGTAGCGACTGTATCAGACTGGTGCCAGGTTGGCAAAATAATAACACAGTGGAATTTTGCAGTCTGCATTCTGGAAATGCAAGAAAAAAGGCATTTGTCAACTGAACCAATTTAGTCCGTCATTGGAAGTTCGCGTATGTTAATTTTACCTGTGAGTTAAGTAAGTTATGAGAGTTCCCGCTCTCGCTTGTTAATAAATCCAATGATAGGGATTTAGTAGTATTACTGTTGGAGGAGGTCGGATGGGACTGGATAGAGGAAGTCCTGGTAGCCGTCGTCGTTTTCATGATCATCCTTGGGGTAACCGCCTTGGCGCTTTGCGTAAAGGAGAAACGAATTTGGCTGCCGGGAGACTTAAATCATCCCAGCCAATCCCGCTGGACTGTTACGATAATTTACAGCCGTACCGGCTAGGTGTTTATAGGCTTTCGTTTGTCGCCCGCACTCTGACCAACATATGGGACCTTATGGGAGTTAAGAATCGATGCTCATTTGTTGGTAACACTGTATGGGATAGTATGTGTATATATATATATACATTTAACATGAAGAAAAGTCCATTGCGGTTTTGAAGTCCAGGGCGGCTAAGTTATTTACGTCTCGTATTGTTCCCAGTGACGTATATAAACGTCGGAAATTTTATTTATCGCCATTTACGTTCGCTGCGTCGTTTAACACTTCTTTCTTTTGAATGTCTGTATCAGGAGTGATTATCGATCTTAATTTCGATTTCGATAGATCTGACGTCGTTCGATTGTCACTTTGGTGTATTATTATTATTGCTTGAGATTTTGCTTTTTTCCTCTTCCAATTGGATCCTTCCTGGAAATAGAAGGAATTGACACGTATTCCGGTACTATGGCAGTTTTATTACCGACACTCCTTATTACCGTCATTGAGCTAAAGCTTGGTTTATGGTTGCGGGTTTGCCAGCTGGAAATTCTTATGGGATTCGAGAACCGGACGATGGGGACTCCTTTTCTTTCTTTCTTTATTTCGACTCAATCGGTATCATAAATTTATTTACGGTATCGTATAAGTACTAGGGCGTATGGGATCTATTTTGTTGTGTAATATTGTGATATACGATGCACGCTTTTCTTCCGCTGACGCGTATTGATGGAATTTTGAAAAAAAAAAAATTTCGAACCACCTTCATATCCATGGCAATTGAATTTTACTTCTTTGTCGAGTTCGCCTCTTTTTACGTGGAATCGAATTACGCGTTTGGGTAACGTGGCGAAATTTACCGGTAATGGGATTTCTCATTGGTGCATCCGTGCAATTCGAATTTCGGCTTACGCGATCATTAATGGCAGCTGATTCGTTAGTAAATTATAATGGGGATGCATCTGTATGCGTATGTAGAAATTAATATTTTTTAATATCATTAACAAACAACCCTTGCTGTGTTAATCGATACCAACAAGTGGACCACCATAATAAAAAAATATTACTAGATCTAAAAAAAAGATCAGTATCATAGATCAAACCCATATGAGAGCAGTGAGAGAAAAAAAAATAAAAATTAGTTAACCCTTCTATTTATAATTTTCATATACGAAATCCTTCGATTTCGTTATCACTTGTCATCCAATTACACGCTGTCAATTTTTTCATTAAATCAACCTGTACATATATGCTAACTTTTTGATTCTTCCTATAGGACAATCATATAGTGTACAGTGCATAAAGTGTATACCACTATACAGTATATCACAGGTCAGTAGCGTAGCAACAGCGACATCGATAATTACACAGAGTCCAATAGTGTAAGGCGTCGCGACGCCGGTCGTCGATTGATGGCATATGGCCGGTATCGTACCTCTTGAAGTAAGCGACGCTATCAGGCATCGAGTTGGTTACACAAATTGTAAATTAATGTGACATCAGTCCTATCGGTTCCCTCTCGAAAAAAAAAAAAAAAAAAAA